AGTTTGCGGCATCCCATTTTCTGCAATTGAAAATCCATTCTTTATTGATTTTCTTCAAAATCTATGTCCAAGTTATGAGCCGCCATCAAGAAAAGTCTTAGCAAATCAGCTTTTAAACCAGGAGCATTCTAAAATTATAATAAAACGGGAAGCGATTTTTCAAAAATCAAGTAACTTAACAATGGGTATATATATTTATATGTATACTAATGAATTATATTTTGTAACTTATTATTAATTCATTATTATTTATAGCACTAGATGGGTGGACGTCGCCTAATGGAAATTCTATTTACAGTTTTATTATTTTAACACCCATGCATAACAAATTTTTGTATTCGTTACATGATTATTCTTTAAATTCACATACTTCTGAATTTCTTGCGAATGAAATCGATCGTATTATAAATGAAATTGGAGATAACAAATTTGCAGCAATTGTAACTGATAACGCTAGTAATATGAAGCTTGCTCGACAAATTATTCATGAAAGACATCCAAAAATTTTAAATTTAAATTGTATCGCACATTGTATTAATCTAGTATCTAAAGATATTCTTAGTAAGTATCAAAAAAATATATCTTACATATTAGCATATTGTTAATATAAATTTTATTTTAGAGCATATATTTAGTTCACGTCTTATAAAAGATTGCAATGAAGTTATAAAGTATTTTAAAAAATCGCATCAACCAAATGCATATTTACAACAAGCGATTAATGAGTTGAATATTTCTGGTGGCGGGTTAAAAAAATTCATCGATACAAGATGGGTTTCTGCATATGAATGTACCTTATCTGTTAGTCGGCTTGAACGTGCATTTATTAAAGTAAGATACTATATTTTAATCAATATTTCATAAAATAAAGACTAAATTTTGTTGTTCGTATAGATTATAAATGAAAACCCGGATTTAATTACAAATCGTAGTGTAAAACAAATTTTAAAAAAAGCATTTTTCTTCGTAGACCTTAAAATTTTAGTTAAGATTTTGGCACCTATTCGAGCGATAATTATGAATTTAGAAGCTCAATCAACAACCTTGGCTGATTGCTTTTTACAGTTTGTTCGGTTAGCAGCTTCCATTAAAAAGATTTCAGGATCCCGAATTAACGCATTCAAAATTTATTGTATACATGTTAT